TGGTGGTTGTTTCACCCATCACTGTGTGTCAGCCCTTGGTGTTTGTTCTGTATGTGTGTGTGTGTGTGTGTGTGTGTGTGTGTGTGTGCAGCAGGTTTCTCAGCAGGTTAAAGGCATGGTATCTCTGAAGACTGCTGACTGCATTGGGGGCCAGATCAGGGGGAAGCAGGTCAGGATTCTGCTGCACAGCATTGGCAACCAGGGGTGATTGTGACTGTGGGGCCCGAGGCCCTGGTAAGCTTTGATTTCTAGTTTTGTGCTTAGCACTGTGGAAGGACACACAGGAGGACATGGGAAGCATAGAACATTTGTGATGTCCAAAGGCCAGGCAGCGATCCTGGCTGGAGGCAGGCAAGATGTGAGCAGGTGCTTACAGCCTGCAGCTCCCATGGCCTCTTAGGCATAGGCTGGGTGGCTGGACCCACCAGGTGACCTAGGCAGGAGTTTCTCCCAACAGTAAGCGGGGTCATACCCTGATATGTCATCACTGAGGAGTCTCATGGCTGGTCATATCACTAGTTTCTAAAACCATCTCACTTTAACTTGGGGACAGAAATCTGGGTTCTCTGGTTGGGCTGGGTTCTGAGGTATGTGAGGCCCATGTCTGCCTGGTGGGCTGCCCCTGGGTGTCACCACTCAGTTTTCTTGGTGTAAGAGAGGTGTGAACACATTCACAGTGCTGCCGTTCACTCCTAGTTGTCTGTCTAGAAATTGATTTTGTCCTGTGGTGTGATGAGTTGACACTTGGAGAGAGCATCCAAATTTCCCTGAGGCCTTGCTGGCTGGCCTTGCCCAGAGCATCTGGGCTTCAGTACACACTTGAGCTCCAGGGAGTCCGGCTGGCAGTGACACCACATTTATGGACACTCCCCTCCCACAGGTGCCATAGCTGATTATCTTGACGTCCTTGGGCCCTCAGTGGGCAGCCCTGTTAATTAGGAGAGCAGTGAATTCAAGCTCTACTAGCAAACTGGGAGCAATTCAGGTCCGCCAGGGCTGTTTGGGTACAAGAGCTGAGGACCTTTTCAACAGATGAGATCAAGTTGAGATGATCACAGATGTAGTTCCTGATCCATAGCAGCTGTCTGTGATGGCTCTCTCTTGCTAGGTTTGTGTTTAACCAGCAGTGCCATGTTTAGGGGAACATCGGGAACATCTTGTACACTGAGTATGTACAGGAATGACAGTCTGTTAGATAGCTAGGCTCTGTTTCGAGTTTGCTGCTAAGTAGCATTTTGCTCCCAGGAGCCTGTCTGGTGTTGTGGCTCCTCTGTGGGGTGAGAGAGGGACCTTGTGGAGTGACATGCTCTGCATGGGAGTTCTGACAGGGAGTCTGCCATGCTGGCTGGGACTGGCTGGGCACTGTGGGGACCTTGAGTGATCCAGAGGCCCCTGCCTATGTGACCACAGGGTTCCTTTGGAATGATGGGGGGGATAGGTTGGGCAGTTGGAAAGGAAGGGCTGTTTTTCTGGGTGGGGTTGGCTCTGAAATATGGAGAGACCAGGAGCTGCTGGCCTTGGGGTGCTCACTGGGTCCTGCACTATGCCCAAGATTGCAGTGTGGCCTCTAAGGGGAACTCCTGGGATAAAGGGCTTTGTCTTGGACATTCACGCCTACACCCTGTTCCAGCTCAAGTGTCCTGCCACTGCAGCGTTTAGGAACTGAGGCAGGGGCTAGGCCTTGTTTAGTCCTTTGCAGACCAGGCTGGGTGACGTCAGCATCTCCATGAAGGGACCCCACACACCCTGCTGCTCCCTCAGGATGCGTGTATCCTACCATTTGCCCTGTGCACATTTACAATCTTACTGAAACACCAAAGGTGTATGAAGAAGACTCCATGGACTCGTTACCATTTTATATATTTATATAGAGAAATTCTTAGAAGCAAAGAGGCAGAGGGAATTTGTTTACATGACATTTGTAGTCCTTCAGTTGTTTTGTGGTTTTGTTTGTTTTTTCCTCAGTCCGTTTCTGGGTACAGTTTTTCTAGTGAATGATTGCACCTTCATGTACTGGACGTCTCTCTTGCTTCTGTGTACCCAGTGGTGGTGGCGGTGGTGTCTGTCTTGCACACATCAGGTGGCATCTCTTGCGTATACCCAGCGTCTTGAGTGTGCACACCAGAGTGACTCCACTGCTCATACCGTTTGCAGTCATGTAGCGTGTACAGGCTGGGCCCTAGAGGGTGGCTTGCAGTCCTGGAAGGTAACCTGCCCCGTCCCCAGGTTGTGTCCCTCTGGAATAGCTGGGCCCTTGTGTGTCCTCTGTGTCCCTGCCACTGGTATTTGGAAGTATTCCTTGATTTGTCCGTCAGCTCTACAGCATTTAGTGTCTGTGGCCAGCTCCTGCCCAGTAAGGGTAGTCAGTGGTTGGTTCCCAGATTGCCTTGGAACCTCCTGCCATGTCATGGAACATGGTTGTGGACACTGCCAGAGCTGTGCTGCCAGCAGACCAGTCTTCAGCCTCCCTAGCAGTTGTGGGGGCCTGTCACGTGGCATCTTTGGGTTATTGGTGAGATCGATGCTGCCTGGGTGGGAGCAGGATAGGACTCCTGGTTTCAGCTGTAGGCAGATAGGCACACACTTTTATTTTAAATAATGTTTGGGGTTGTCAAGGATCAACCCCAGGGCCTTCTGCAATCTAGGCAAGCGTTCTACCACTGAGCTATATTCCTATATTCCCAATCCCCCTGCTCTACTTTAAATCATTTTTTAAAAACACTAGTGTGAGGTGTTTAGTGCTCCCTATAGTAGTAGCATGGTTGTCTCTCTGGCATTAGGAAATTGGGACCTTCAGCCTGGTGCCTGCAGAGGCCAGGAGAGGGCGTCAAATCCCCAGGAACTGGAGTTAGAGGCAGTTGTGAGCTGCCATATGGGGGCTGGGTCCTGAACCCAGGTACTTTTCAAGTACATTTCTTCAGCCCCTTCACCTTTTGTTTTAGTGGTGGAGGGGGGTGGTGTTACATGACCCTTCACTGGACCTGGAGCTCACCTATTCAGCAAGATTAGCTGACCAGCAAGCGCCAGGAATGCTCCTACCTCTCTGCCTCTCCTGTTCTGAGCATGTGCCACTGTCCTTGGCTTATTTTTTTTCTTTTTCGGTCTTTTTGAGACAGGGTCTCCCTGTAGCCCCAGCTGTCCTGGAACTCACTATGTAGACCAGGCTGGCCTTGAACTCACAGGGATCCACCTGCCTCTGCCTCCCGAGTGCTGGGACTACAGGCGTGTGCCACCATGCCCGGCATGTCCTTGGCTTTTTATGTGGGTGCTAGGGATACAAACCAGGTCCTCTGGCTTGGGTGGCAAGCTCTTTACCAACTGAGCCATCTCCCCGGCCCTCACCGACCTTTTGTTGTTGTTGGCATGTGTTCATTGTACACAGTGTCAAACACGTGCACTCTGACTGCCCCACGTCCCCTGCCTTCTCTTTCACCCCCTCCTGTCAGTCCCCTGTCTCCCCAGTTCTGTCTCTTCTTTTCATGTCATATGTACATACAGGATTTTATGTGTCTATATAAAATCTGGGACCTACAAATGAGAACATGTAATGTTTGTTTTTCTGAGACAGAGTTGTTTCTCCAGTTGGATCTGTTTTCCTGCACACCACACGATTTGGTTCTTCATGTGTGTTGTGTCTGTGGTGTGTATATGTGTGTTGAGTGTACATGTGTGTTTGTGCACACATATGCATGGAAGCACGTAGAGGCCAGAGGTCAATGTCAGGTGTCTTTCTCTGTCACTATTGATTTTATGTTTTGATAGGGTCTCTCACCAAACCTGGAGCTCATTTATTTGGCCAGGTTGGCGGCCTGGTGAGCTCTAGAGATTCTCCTGTCTCTTTGCCCCCAAGTACTGGGTTACAGATGTGTGCCACTGTGCCTGGCCATTACATGGATGCTGGAGATCAGAATTTGTGTGCTCTTAGGGCCCTTCAAGTAAATACCCCGGAGCGGTATGAATACAGTAAAACATTAATGCTCCAGCACTCTCACACATCTTAAATTCTCCGGCCTGCTTGTATTAACTTGTGTTTATGAGTTACCTGGTTGGATATTCTCACTGGAATCAGAAGAAGAGCGCATGGGACTTTGCCTCTTGGCTGCCATAGACGCTTCAGATGGTGAAGAAGGCAAATAATCCTGGAAACACAGGGCTGCCCGGGACTGGCTCTTTGTATCTGCCTCCTCAGCTTGAGCTCTCAGGACCCCTGAATGGTCCAGGCACCATGGTGTCCCCTCCTCTCCCTGAACCTGCTTGAGGCCTCATGATGACAAGATGTGGATGGTGACCTTTGGCTTCAGATCCATCTGCCTAATATGTGGTTGTCCTTGTTACCTCCATAAACACACAACCCTTTCTTTTAAAAAAATGGTTTTGGAGCCGGGTGTGGTGGTGCACACCTGTAAACCCAGTACTCGGGAGGCAGAAGCAGGTGGATCTCTGAGTTTGAGGCCACCTTGGTCTACAAAGTGAGTTTCACGCCAGCTGGGACTACAGGGAGATCCTGTCTTTAAAAAAAAAGACAAAAAATGTTTTTGGATCTATTTATTTTTATTTTATGTGTATGAGTGTTTTGCCTGCATGTATGTGAGAGTACCAGTGTGTGCAATGTCTGAAAAGGCCAAAAGAGGGTGCTGGATTCTGGAACTGGGGTTGTACATGGTTGTTAGCTGTCATGTGGGTGCTGAGAACCAAACCCGGGTCCTGTGGAAGTAGCAGCCAGTGCTCTTAGCTGCAGAGCCGTTGATCCAGCTCCGTAAACATAGCCCTTTCTGTCCTGGTGTGGCTACAACCTTGCAACCCAGCTGTGACTGTTCTGAATAACTGTCGTTGCTTTGGAGGTTCTTGGGGAACTTTACAGTGCTTCTTTACCTGGCTCGAGGGGGTGGGCTTGCTCTCCTTCCTGGAGTCTGTTTTCTGACTGGGTCTGCATACATGTCCTTCGGTGCCCCTGCCTCATGGTGTGTGGTCAGCTGCTCATTATCTTTGTCTCCTGCCAGTGGTCACGGTGATTCTGAAGGCGCTGACGTACGATGAGAAGCGGGGTGCCTGCAGTGTGGGCGCCAATGTCAGGGATGCTGCCTGCTACGTGTGCTGGGCCTTTGCACGTGCCTACGAGCCTCAGGAGCTGACACCCTTCGTGACTGCCATTTCCAGGTAATGCCTGTTGGTTATGCTGAGGAGTGTTTGTGTTGCATGGCAGATATGCTTGGTTCATAGTAACCATGCATGTGGCATCTTCCCTGTGAGTGTGGCAGATATATGCTCCATTCCCAGTAACAATGCATGTGGCATGTTTATTCCCTGTGAGATGAAGCAGGTCCAGATCAGCTCCTTTCTGAGAGCAGGTGGTTATAGCTGGATGTCCAGGAGGAGTATTCTGGAGGCTTGGGCTATGGCTGACAGTTCTCTGGGTGAGGGACCCTTGGAGCGAGGTGGGGGATTAGTGGTACTATGGGAATGGCCCAGGGAGTCCTGGAGATTCAGCGTATCGCCTACACCATAAGAGCTCTGGAATGTGTTGGGGTCTCTGCTTTTTCTGAGGCTGGTTCTGTACGTCCTGATTTCCTCAGTCGTGTGGCGGGTACTCTTGCTGGTGATTGATTGCCTTGTGCCTCTGCCTTCATTTAGCAAGTTGAGATGTAAGCAGTGCTTGAGAACTCCAAGGCCAGGAAGCATCCTGGGGAGTGGCAGTGCTGGTCACCAGAACCCAGTGCCTCTGGCCAGTCAGGAGAGCTGGGGTCCCATGGGGTGTGTGTGTGTGACTTCTGGTCTGTGGCCTCCTGATAGGGGTTCAGTGGCCCCTGGAGACCCGGGCAGCCATGGCACCAGTGCTCTTCTGCCTGACTTTCAGGAATTGGTGTCTTTCTGCTTTGACTGATGCAGAAGTGGTTGGTTCCTGGCAGTTCTTCCTTCAGCTCTGTTGCCAGGTAACAGTGGAGGGCAGAGCTCTCTGCGTTAAAGGGCTTCTCTATGCTTCTTTCTGAGGAGCCAGGGAAGGTGCCGAGTGGCTCCGTGAGTCCATCATAATGTGAGTGCCCTCGTGGCTCCTCTCTGCAAGGCTCCTTCCACGCTCTCCAGGGGCAAAGCCTTTGTCCTGATCTGTTCTCAGCTGCTCACAGCACCAGGGTCAAACAGTAGTGGATTCTGGAGTGTTCTGGGGAGGGGAGCTCTATCTTTTCTCACATATGTCATCTCACTGAATATTGGGTAAGCTCTGAAGTGGGACCTGGAGCCCCTTTACCTCCCTGGATGGTCAGGGTTGGGAACATACCTCCCCACCTGGTGCTTCCTGCCCCGTTCTGAAGATAAGCTAATTTAGAGGAAGTCATAAACAAGTCTGACTCTGTCTTTGTCCCTCTCTTGGAGAGGAGTGTTGGAGCCCTAGGGTGTTGTAGGGGATTGTAGAGAATGGCTTACCTGAGGCCAGGGAGGCTGTCTTTGACAGCCACTCCGGCTATGCTGTTAGTTGTGGGCTCAACCGTGGGTGGTCTTCTTGCGTGGGGCTGGGCAGGGGCCAGGGCTTCTGCTGAGCTCCGGGCCTTGCCCATGGCCGTGGAAGTGCTTGTTGTTCTTGGAGTGCTGAAGGGGTTTGTTGCTGCTTTCTTGTCCTGATCCTCAACTGTTTGGAAACTGGTCCTGTGAGTAACAAAAAAGTTCTCCTGTAGTTCACAACTGTTCCAGAGCAGTGCCTGCAGAAGGATGGCATCCGTTCCACCTGCTTCTGTCAGGCCGGGGCTACAGTCATGGTCCTGTTTCTCTGAAGATGAAAAGAAGATAGAGTGTGAGGGAGGGTGTGGGAGTGAAGGTGCAGCGTATCAGACGGGTATTGAGCCAGGTGTGATTTCTGAAGTGGCCCTGATGACCTGCCAGGAGGCTGTGAAGGACCTCAGCCCAGATGTGCATCTGCTTCCTGTTTCGAACTGAAACCAGTCCTGATAGATTCTGTCAGTCTAATAGTTTTGGCTTGCGAATAACCAACTCCAGGATGCTGTGCCCCCTACTGCTCTGGTTCAAGGGGCAGGATGGCAGGATGGCTTGAGGGAAGGTGTAGAGTAATAGACTAGTGCTAGGGCTGGAGAGAGGGCTCAGTGGTTAAGAGCATTGGCTGCTCTTGCAGAGGACCCAGGTTCAATTCTCACCACCCACAAGGCAGCTAACAACCGCCTGTAACTGGTTCCAAGGGATCCTCTGACCCCTGTGGGTGTTGTAAGACACGGGTACACTTACACACATGCAGGCAATACACTCACATAAAAATAAGTAAGATATTTTAAAAAATCGAGGCCAGTATTGCCCTGCTGGCCCAGCAGCATGCAGTCAGGCCAGGAGTGTATGTCCTGTCCCTGTTCTCTGTTGGTGAGTGTGGGGACTCAAGGCCACCCTGCTGCCTCTGAAGGTAAGAGGACAGGTTGAGGATCCCAGCTGGCAGCTTTCCCATGATTGAAGGGATCTGTGTGGTACCTGGTAGAGGGGCGGCAAAGCCCCGATCACACAGTTCCTACCCACTGGCCTGTCTGCACCCAGTGCTTCAGAACTTAAATTACAGCACTGATCTCTGGGTGGGTTTTATAAAAGAAAACCAGCAGCCCTTGAAAAACATGGCTGTGAGGTCTGCTGCCGACTTGGTGCTGGGCTGCAGGTGAGATGGCTCTTGGGCACTGGCCTGTGTTGTCTAGCTCGAGCTGCTCTCATGTGAGAGCAGTGTGGTAGGGAGTTCCACAGCTGAAGAGGGAATGGGTCTTCTTTCCCTCCAGGGCTCCCTTCCCTACTCAGGGAAGGAAGGGCAGTTGAGCTCTGTGAACCGGCCCTGCACAGGCTCTTGCCCCTGAGGTTTGCTGCCTGCTGCCTGCGGCAGGTAGCCCAGATTGAGCTTGGCATGGTCTTCCCAGAACTTAATGTGGACTGAGCCTGCCCTAGGTGGAGGGTGACCCTGAGGAGATGTGGGATCCTTGGTGTTGGGCATGGTGTGGCCAGTGCTGCTTCTCTTGGACCTGGTGGTCAGTGTCCAAATCGGTCTCTAGAATGATCCTAACTTCTCTACTCAGGGTGTGGGACAGTATCTAGATGCAGTCTGTAGGAACTCTTGTGATTCCACTTGAGATCGGGTGGATTTGCTGACTTGGTGGCACAAGTCCGAGGGGTTGCTGGGGAGCCCATGCCTGCACCGCACACGGGAGCTGCAGCCATGGCTGCAAGGCTATTACCTCTCCCTCACAGTCTCCTGATTGTCTTGCCTAAGCTGGCAGTTGTCAGGCAGGGTTACTGCTATAGAATTTCTTCTAGAAGGCCCCTCTGCCCACGCCCACCCCAAATGGGCAGCAGTCCCCTTTGGAGCTGTGTTACTGCAGGTTTCCAGCCGGTTGGACGGGTTCTGAGGAACCTGTGCCTGGCCCTTCCCGTCCCATCTGACTTCAGGCATCAGCGGGGGAGGGTAGCTGGTGAGTCAGGTATGCCAGTGAACATGGGGCACGCACTACCTCCTGCCTGGAGCTCTGTGCCGTCTGAGTATCGGTCGGGTGTGCCCTCCAGACCTGCTTGCGAGGTTCGTCAGTAGTGACCGTGATTTTTAATTATCAGGTTTTAAGCCAGTTAATTCTGGCACATGGTATCTTTCCTTTCACAAAATCTCGGTGGATCCTGCAGAAGTACACTTGAAGTCCAGATAGAGTTTCCAGAGTGAAATAGAAATATCTGTCAGAAAGACCTAGGGAGGTGACGTGAGGAGCTTCACTGTGCCCTGGTGCCTGCTACAGGGGCAGTGACCCACCTTCCCTAACTTTTGGCTGAAGAAATTGGATGGATTGTTCTCCCCTCACAGTGTGAGCTTGTTTTACCCTCTCTATTTTAAAAACTTGAAAAGGAGATTTTTCAAGGCAAATTTTTACCTTTTTGAAAGATTTGTTTTAATCGCTTTTGAAAACCTGTCTTCATTCTGCTTTGAGCAAAGACATTTGCTGGAGCTGGGATGGCTGCTTGTGGCTCACACTGGGTTTCCTGAAAAGCCTGGTACAACACAGGAGCAGTGAGATGGGAGGTGAAAATGTGATGGGAGGCTGTGTGTTTATTGTCTAGAACATTCCCTCTGACCAAACTTAAAAGCTAATCTGCAGGAATAGAGAGCTGCCGGCTGTTGCCAGAGCCCTCTGCCTGTCACCTTCCGATTTCCTCACCTGAAACTCTTTTGTAAGCTGAGCTCCTGTTGACATCCACTCCGCCCAGGCGAAGGCCCGCCTGTGCCAGGGGCAGCTCGCGACTCCACTGAGCAAACTGGCAGGACAGCGTGGGCTGCTTGGGAAGGGCCTGGGATTGGCTCAGTAAGATCTCTTCCTTCGGGGCAAGATTGTCCTGAAAAAAAAATCAGGAAATGGCAAGCCTTGCTCAAAGCTATGTCCTGTTCTCCTTAGCCTGTCCAAGTGGCCCAGCTTCCACAGGGAAGAAAGTGGCCTGTTTTCAGGAAGAGGCTGCCTCAGCACTGACTGGGCCCCCCACCCCCCTCACCCTCCCTTCTTGTTGACTTGGGTGTGACCTGAGGCGCTTTGTTCTGTTTATGGCCTGGGGCATTTCAGTCAAAGGAAGGGTTTGCATTTTAATGGGATTTGCAACTTACAAAAACCATGGATTGAATTATTAGACAGCTATTTAAAAAATACAGAATGACAGGTTTTGTTGCCCATAGTGTGTTTGGTTTTGAGTGCTACCTAGTAGCATGCAAACAGAAAAACTGAGTTTGGGGCCAGTGCTACTCTCACTGGACCTGCTGAACTGAAGTGCCTGGCTGTGGGGAAGGAGAGAGCAGGCTGAGGAGGCGTGCCATTTCCCCTTGGTTTGGACCAGAAAGAGGATCCCTGTGTTGGGAAATCCTGGTGAGCTGTATCACACCACTTCCCAGAGAAAGCCAGCAGGTAGACACACCCACAGCTCTCAGATGCTAGCTTCACTGTGGGTTCCAGACTCTCCAGGCTCCCTCTGAAGCAAGGACTGTTGACTTTCCAAGGCCATCCCGCTGTGGATGGAGGACTGAGGCCTGGGAGCATTGGTGCCCGTGAGAGCAGTGGTTTAGGAAGATGCCGTCTTATTTATAAATATTTAACCAGTGTCATTATGCCTGTTTGCATTTGAAACATACTAGTATTTCTAGATAAGCCAGTCTTGTT